CATCAGGGCTCTGTTACACAAAGTAACATTAACGTTAAGGTAATTGCAGGTACGCACAGACCCATTCGTTCGGTGTGTGTCGTGGTCCTTCGTACCACATTCTGTGTCATCCTGTGCTGTTAGATGGCTGGGGTCATCCATCACTGTGTCAAGTGTGGTGTGGTCATGTGTCATTTTCCTATGCTTTCATTTTGTGAAGACTCCTTTTACTGTGTTCATTTCTGGTGGTGTGTGGGCTCGTGATTCCATTGGTCCTATTTGTGATTCTGTGTCCTGCATTGTCACTTTCATGCTTGTCTCTCTTGTCTCTCTCTCTCTCTCTCTCTCTCTCCTCCTCTCTCTCTCTCCCTCTCTGTCTCTCTCTCTCCCTCTCCCTCTCTCCTCTCTCTCTCTTCCTCTCTCTCTCTCTCTCTCTCTCCTCTCTCTCTCTCTCTTCCTCTCCTCTTCTCTCTCTCTCTTCTCTCTCTCCTCTCTCTCTCTCTCTCTCTCTCTTCTCTCTCTCTCTCTCTCTCTTCTCTCTCTCCCCTCCCCTCTCTCTTTCCTCTCTCTCTGTCTCTCCCCTCCTCTCTCTTCCTCTCTCTCTCTCCCTCTCTCTTCCTCTCTCTCTCTCCTCTCTCTCTCCTCTCTCTCTCTCCCTCTCTCTTCCTCTCTCTCTCTCTCTCCTTCCCTCTCTCCTCTCTCTCTCTCTCTCTCTTCTCTCTCTCTCTCTCTCCCCTCCCTCTCTCTCCTCTCTCTCTCTCCTCTCTCTTCCCTCTCTCTCTCTCTCTCCCTCCCCTCCTCTCTCTCCCCTCCCTCTCTCTTCCCTCTCTCTCTCTCTCTCCTTCCTCTCTTTCCCCTCTCTCTCTCCCCTCTCTCTTCCTCTCTCTCTCTCTCTCCTCCTCTCTCTCCTCTCTCTCTCTCTCCTCTCTCTTCCCTCTCTCTCTCTCTCTCTCTTCCTCTCTCTCCTCTCTATCTCCCCTCTCTCTCCCTCTCTCTCTCTCTCTCCCCTCCCTCTCTCTCTCTCTCTCTCTCTCTTCTCTCTCTCTCTCTCTCTCTCCCCCTCCCCTCTCTCTCTCTCCCCTCTCTCTTCCCTCTCTCTCTATCTCTCCCTCCCTCCTCTCTCTCCCTCTCTCTCTCTCTCCTCTCTCTCCTCCCTCTCTCTCTCTCTCTCCCTCCTCTCTCTCTCCTCTCTCTCTCTCCCCCTCTCTCTTCCTCTCTCTCTCTCTCTCTCCCCTTCCTCTCTCTCCCTCTCTCTCTCCCCCTCTCTCTTCCTCTCTCTCTCTCTCTCCCCTTCCCTCTCTCTCTCCTCTCTCTCTCTCCCCTCTCTCTTCCCTCTCTCTCTCTCTCTCCTTCCTCTCTCTCCTCTCTCTCTCTCCCTCTCTCTCTTCCTCTCTCTCTATCTCTCCCCTTCTCCCTCTCCCTCTCTCTCTCTCTCCTCTCTCTTCCCTCTCTCTCTCTCTCTCTCCTCCTCCTCTCTCTCCTCCTCTCTCTCCCTCCCTCTCTTTCCTCTCTCTCTATCTCTCCCCTTCCCCCTTTAAAAAATGTTACTTCACTTTGGATGGGTATTGTTTTTTTTCCAAGGTACAAAAAATGATTCCCATAGAATATCCAGTTTATGTATAATTATCCTTCCCTATCTGACTATTTCTGTTGTAAGTGGAAAAGTCGAGTTAAGTGGGTTTTTTAATACCATGATGTTAATTTCATATTTTAAAAAAAATTGTTTACAGAATGATTTTCAGAAACGTGAAACAGAATCATTCTTTTTGTTTACTCTTATCAGGTATAAATCAAACAGCAAAGGTTTTGAAATAGGATTAGAACTAATCCTTAAATCGTTCGAGTAATAGATATAAATAAAAATAACATTCCGTTCATACTGTTAATCACTGGGTTATCTGATCCAGACTTGATTATTTATAAACGGCCGTCATATACTAGTAGCCGGAATACTGCTGAGTCCGGCGTTAAACAACAAACAAACAAACGCAAACAAACATTGTATTTGTTCTCCCAGTACACAATTTAAGTCTCGGTAGAACTGTTATCAGCATTTCGCTTATCTCGATATCTCCTGGCTTCCAGACTTCGAGTTACGACGTGTCATTCCAATCCGCCTAAATCGACATAATATATACCCAACGTCCCCTCAACCCCTAACAAACGTGACCAAACACGTATGCATTATCAGCAGATTCATTAAAAGCAAAATGCACAAACATTGTACATTTCAGAAAAGGTGAAATGTACACAGCTGAAATCGACACGTTCGTGCGTGAACACTGCGTGGGAAGTACTCCCGGCGCCGGTGAAAACTGCTATCTACAACATCTATATACCCTTGACTTGGGTAACCCTACTCAGTGAATGAGTATTAGGCTCCTAATTACACACAGCTCTGATTGGTAGTAGATACAGTCAACAATGCCTGCTTTCACTGAAATGTACATTGATATGCAATTAACACACTATCATTTCATCAACTGGGAACATATTTGGAGACCTATGTTTCTAGATTTGTTTCCAGGACTTGAAGATTGTGTATACGTGTGCTGATTTTCGATATCATGGAACCAACGAAGACGAACTTTAGGAAACGTTTCTTTGAAATAATTTAATCTATCTTTTTAAATAAACTAACGAGCAAAATAAACGATACCAAACAGAAATCACTGATACTATAAAACGACAAAACACCATTGTTGTCCATACACCTGTTATTAAAATTCGCTTTCCTTTTTCACAATGGTGGTTTGTCGTTTTGTAGTATCAGTGATTTCGACTTGGTATCGTTTCTTTTGCCCGATAGTAATAACATTTCCTATTCATTAAACCATCCTAGACTACCTTTATGAGAACGTTTCTTTGAAATAATTGGAATCTATTTTTTAATTAGAAACTGATATTTTCTGCTATTTTATGCAATCAAAAACAGTACTTAGTAAGTAGTATAAAGCATTACTTAGTAATTAGTATATAAGCTTACGAAAGGAAATCTGTGAAGCAGAGCTTCCATTTGTCTTTAGCCACTTGTCTTTGCATTAGGGCTCTGTAGTATATAAGCTTACGAAAGGAAATCTGTGAAGCAGAGCTTCCATTTGTCTTTAGCCACTTGTCTTTGCATTAGGGCTCTGTAGTATATAAGCTTTGCCTTACGAAGAAAGGAAATCTGTGAAGCAGAGCTTCCATTTGTCTTTAGCCACTTGTCTTTGCATTAGGGCTCTGTAGTATATAAGCTTACGAAAGGAAATCTGTGAAGCAGAGCTTCCATTTGTCTTTAGCCACTTGTCTTTGCATTAGGGCTCTGTAGTATATAAGCTTACGAAAGGAAATCTGTGAAGCAGAGCTTCCATTTGTCTTTAGCCACTTGTCTTTGCATTAGGGCTCTGTAGTATATAAACTTACGAAAGGAAATCTGTGAAACAGAGCTTCCACTTGTCTTTAGCCACTTGTCTTTGCATTAGGGCTCTGTAGTATATAAGCTTACGAAAGGAAATCTGTGAAGCAGAGCTTCCATTTGTCTTTAGCCACTTGTCTTTGCATTAGGGCTCTGTAGTATATAAGCTTACGAAAGGAAATCTGTGAAGCAGAGCTTCCATTTGTCTTTAGCCACTTGTCTTTGCATTAGGGCTCTGTAGTATATAAGCTTACGAAAGGAAATCTGTGAAGCAGAGCTTCCATTTGTCTTTAGCCACTTGTCTTTGCATTAGGGCTCTGTAGTATATAAGCTTACGAAAGGAAATCTGTGAAGCAGAGCTTCCATTTGTCTTTAGCCACTTGTCTTTGCATTAGCCACGTTTTTAACGGTGTTGGTTTCCTGAAGAAAGAATGTTGGTTTTGATACGCACAAACTGAAATCGATTATCCGATTGCATGTTTTGCATTTTAACTTTGACAACTATTCCTTTCAAAGTGCTGACAGTAAAAATGTTGTCTTTGCATCATATAATATGACGGTTACTTGCTACAACAAAATCTAAAGCTGTTCTTGTACTCAACTGTCATCAGGTATCGATGGCACCAAAGACGTTCATCAGAGTGAGTGAGTGGATGGGTGAGTAAGTGAGTGGGTGGGTCTATAGGTGGGAGTGCGTCATGTGTGCGTGTGCGTGCGTGTGTGCGTGAATGAATGATGAAGTCAGTACCTGTTGGCACCGCTTATAGAAATATTGCAGCCAGCAATATCATGACGGAGGACACCAGAAATGGGCTTCGTTCATTTTACCAATGTGGGGAATCGAACTCGGACTTTCGGAGTGACGAGCGAATGATTTAACCTTCAGTCTTCTCCCAAACCCCCATAGATATTTACAAAGGGCACATGGTTGTTTTTAAATGTTGTGGAGGCATAACATCAGATTCAATAACAGCGATGTTCGATAGTGTATAAGACCTAACACAAGAACAGTGATGATCTTTCAATACTTTAAAAAACCCAGGTTATTCATATCTCTATCTCATCGGGGCGGTGGGGTAACCTAATGGTTAAAGCGTCGGCTCGTCACGCTGAAGACCCGGGTTCGAATCCCCACATGGGCACAATGTATGAAGCCCATTTATGGTGTCCCCCGCCGTGATGTTGCTGGAGTATTGCTAAAAGCGGCGTAAAGCCCAACTCACTCACTCACTCTATCTCATCTCGCTGTAGACTGGGGTTCGATTCCCTGTCCGGGCACCATATGTTACGCCATAAAGTGTAGCCAAGTGGAAGTCTGGTTGTTGGGAGAGACAACGGCCTTTCCCTAAACCCTTCATGAGGGAAAACCCGTCTCGTGGTAGGGTCGGCCCTGCAAACATCAACGCATCCGACCCAGACATCAGGGGCGGTGAGGTAACCCAGCGTTTAAAGCGTTCGGTCGTATTACCAAAGGCCCGGGTTCGATTCCCCACATGGGCACAATGTGTGAAACCCATTTCGGCTTAAAACGAAATCCACTCACTCACTACAGCATATCCAAATTTCAAGTGTTCCATACACTGTCATAGATTTCTTGAATTATTTCAACAAAGAAGAACCTTTCTATCTATTCACACTTTTATTAATAAAATACATATTTTACAAATATCACAGACAACAGCATATATGACAGCGGAGAGTATCAATGACGAACTTTTCCACATACAGCCAAAAGTTATAAATAACTCACAGATTTGATAAAAAAATAAACATACAAAAATATATATTAATTTATAAGCATATTTACAAAGCATATGTACATCACGCTATGGTCACGTGATACGAGAAACTGTCAACCACAGTTAAATTAAAATCGAAAGTAAAACATTTTCACTAAAAAAATGGCACTTTGTCAGAGAATTTCTGCGTGTAATTTTTAAAAACAGATAGGCCCAAAGTTCGTTTCGTCTGCGGTTGGGTTTCAATACCTCGTATCACATGATGACGTATTAATCTGTACCTACAATAAATAGTTGAATATATTCATTTATGTACAGTTTTGGACGGTTTGGATAAGGAATGGGACCAATGGAACGGTCCCTCATATGTTAGTAGATACAATGTTAGTAGATATATGTCAGATCAAGTACACGGTGACTGTATGGAAAATGAAATTAACAATGAGTCCAACAAAATGTGAATACGTAACCGCTGTGGTAAATACTGGATCGGTTTACAATACTGTGAAATGGACAAGTATCTGTATGAAATTGACACGTTTTGAATGACATTTAAAAGTTAGGATGTAATGCCTATGAGATATGTTTGAAGTGAAACTTATTTAGTAGTATAGTCATTCATTATTGTCATATCTGTCACAGTTGGGAGAATTTACAATATCTAAATTTGCGCTGTGAGTTTAAAGAGACGAACAGTTAAATGTTATTTTGATGACGTCATGATGACTACTGTCCTTCCGTTTCGTTATACTGTAAAGAATTGTTCGTCAGTATGTTTCGCTTTCTTGTCACCAAAGCTTCTCAGATTGTGATTAAACTCATGTCCTTTTGGCCTACATCGATGACCTTGACCTCTGTCGTGACCTCTGATAAATGGTCATCGATAGCTTTCACAAAATACACAAAAAGTTCTCAAACATCGGAGAGCAGGAATATGTCAAGGTCATTTGGTGACCTTGACCTCTGACTTCAAAGTGATGGAGTGACATCGAATCGCAGGAATGGGTCCAGGTTGGGCGATGATCTTATGGACCTATGACTTCGAGAGACAGGAGTCGATGACGTGTTGACTTCATAGATACGATGGAGGCGTCGCCGTTGCGGTAGCAACTAGGTGACGTTGAGACATTCAGCTATGAGATGAAAAGACGTCACCATGTACGTGATCGTCGTTGATGTTTGGCAGTTGTGTAGCATGATGGACGTTTGGGAGTGACCTACGTGGTCACGTGACACCCACCGCCATCTTGGACGTGGATTCTCCTTCGTGTCTGAAACATAAAAGAGGGAATTTAGCATACTCAGAACTAACTAGAAGATTTATTATACTGGGGGGAAGTTCCATTGCTAGTATTAAGCTCCAACGTTGCATGATTACTCCCTCATCTTTCACAAATCTACAAATATGCTCATATCTCTGCGGAACATATCATATCATTCACTGACGCAAAACTCACATTCAACACTAAATCCCGGCTGCAAAATGTAATCTGAGCACCAAACCTCAACTTCAACCATAACCTGCAACCTCAACCCCAGCCCATACCTCAGTCTCATATCTGAAGCTCATTTGCAGCATAAAACCTCAACATCAGCTGTAAACCTCAACTCCAGCTCCAAACCACAACCCCAGATCTGAACCTCATTAGCTGCATTAAACCTCAACTTCATCTCTAAACCTCGACCCCAGCTGTATTCAAACCCTCTGTACATCAACTGAAACAGCACAGCTCAACTCCAGACGTTAACCTCAACCCCAGCCCATACCTCAACCCCAGGTCGGAACCTCAATCGCAGCATAAAACATCAACTTCATCTCTAAACCTCAACTCCAGCTGTATTCAAACCCCCCATACATCAACTGCAACTGCTCATTTCAACTCCACACATGTATCTCAACCGCAAATTTGAACAAAAACCTCATTCTGAACCTCAATTTCAGCCAATAACCTTTGACATACAGTACGCCAAGGACAGAGAATAATCTCGATTATCTGTCGAAAGACATTTCACTGGGTCTTAGAGTCAAAATCGTCATGACAATTATATGAATAGATCACAAAAAATCAGTGATGACACCAGGTGTTTTATCGAAAAGGTGTCCCCCTCTGACGGTAGCACCCGCAACTACAAAAAAACCCACCAATGTATTAAAAAGTAAGTGTTTTTGTTGTCCATCGGCATTACCGTTCAGCGTAACAGATGACATGCCGCACGATGTGTTATACCACTCGTTTGGGGCCAGTAGGTTTTACAAGCTAGCCCTAACTAGGCAATATATTGAAGTCGACGCGTGTCCCATATCAAACAATCACCAAGATCCCCCTAACCACACGCCTGCGAAATACATAATTACGATGGTGCATGATATATAATGATATGATATATATGATATATGTACACTTTATATATCATTAAACAGCACATCATGAAGTAATCTGAGCGTGTTATCCCTCAGATCTGGTTAATCGTATATTTACCTTCCTAGCAAATAATAATACCTTAATAAGTAACACAGAAATCGTACAATACTCACAGACACAAACTCCCGCAAAGACAGACCAATCTTATGCCAACCACCGTCCCAGACTAATGCACAAGCCGATCGCATCCCTTTATAACCCTCATCTCTCGTGCGGCGGGCGAGTAATCACGCCCCGCTGTCGCGGAGTACTATAACAGTCTTGAGTCTACCGTTATGCCACCAGCGCTACCCGGAATATAAATAACCGAGAAATATATACCCGTCAAGCATCTCTGTACCCGGCGACCAGTTCACCCAGCCGTGTAAACCCCCTTAGCAGATAGAGGTTCTCGGGTGGGTGCCTAACACCGCTCTTAAAGGGTCGCTAGGGTGGGAGCGATTTAAGGGCTCCGATATGAGGGGCGTTTTGAACGGTGTGAGTCACAGTAAGACTTTACATTGTAGGATTTAAAACGGGTGAAGATTTGTTGTTTAATTTTTCATCATGTCATTGACGAAACATTTGTTAAAGGTGTATTATATATTAGGACTAACTGCATTCTTCATTATGTGCTTTAATTCCGTTTATGCTGTCAAAGTGGCAATACGTCATTGTGTCTGGTATACTGCTCAAAAATAGTTAAGGACAACCCTAGCCTTTCATATTACTATAGATAATCTGGCATGACTACAAAAACATTCAGTTGTCGTTAACATTTTTCGAGTAGTATATCTATAGGAATGTCAAGTGAAACATATAGAATGTGTCAAAGAACAATTGTCATCTGTGGGTAATGACTTGACGAACTCGAACACTCAAACGCCATAATTCTGTACGGGAGGGTCGTGCTGGGCGAGGCCCGACAGGGGAGAAAAGGGCTCAATTCCTCGACACGTTTTCGCCTCGATATTGACAACCTGTCGAAGTTGTGTATACTTTGAAATACACAAGAATCCTCTCTCGTGCCCTCGCCTACTCTCGTGTCATGTAAACTGGTTTCAATAGGCGGTTCGTGCGGCCCTGATTCATGTTCCACTATACACCTCCTTGACTGGGATACCGTGTTTACTGTTTGTAAGGTAAATGTAAGCTGTATGTATGTAAGTATGGAAAAGTCAACGCTTGTTTCACTGTCACCAAGAAAGAGACTGGTATGCTACTCTTCAAATGCGACAAAGTGTCTGGTGTACCCACAACAGCGAGGCGCCCGTCGCCATCTTTACTATTCCAATCAGACGCTTTCTTGTGAAGATTGGGCGGTGGAGAAACCTGGTGGTTAAACGTTCGCTCAAGACCCAGGTTCGATTCCCCAAATGGGTACAATGTGTGAAGCTAATTCCTGGTGTCCCCCGCCGTGATAAAATGCTGGAATATTGCTAAAAGCGCCGTAAAACATAAGCTCACTAACTCGCACTGAGTAGCCAAGAGTAACATTTCAACACTCAGTTCATAGGTCGCCTTGTTATCAGCAGTATATATTCCGTATATGTAATGATTTGGTTGAAATCGTTTTCACTGCAGATAACGGTATTTTATACCACGTGATGACGTCTTGTAAACAAAACAAACGGTAATTTTTACGACGCCATGATGTCTTGTAGACAAAACAAACGGTATTTTATACGACGTCATGACCTCTTGTAGACATAACAAACGGTATTTTATACGACGTTATGACGTAGACAAAATAACGTTTTACGACGTCATGACCTCTTGTAGACAATACAAACGGTATTTTATACGACGTCATGACGTCTTGTAGACAATACAAACGGTATTTTATACGACGTCATGACGTCTTGTAGACAATACAAACGGTATTTTATACGACGTCATGACCTCTTCTTTGATGGGCATTTCAGAAGTTGAGTTGATGAATAATAATGACAATTATTATGGATAAACAACTGCTTTTATTCTGTGGAGGCGACGTTTCGACATAGATTGGACAACGACATTAGAATCTATGTAGTCAAAATAAACGGTATTTCACACGACGTCATGACCTCTTGTAGGCAAAGCGAACGAGTGTTTGGTAGTGCAAACACAAATTCTACAATCAGATTATGCATGGCGTCCAATCAATCTATCCTTTTATGCAGAACATTCGACGCTCTCAAGGCACTACTCCTGATATGTCGAAGTGACATTTTACGACAGCTCTACGCTTGTCGCAGTCGCCGACAGACGACTAGAATGTGACAATGTTTGACCTGGCCGTGTGACGTCATACCTCGGTAATGAGGACGGCTGCTCTTGCTATCGACCACTCCGTGTCCAACGGAAACTGGGTTATTTACAAATCGAGTGGGGCGGTGGGGTAGCCTAGTGGTTAATGCGTTCGCTCGTCACGCCGTAGGCCCGGGTTCGATTCCCTACATAGGTACAATGTGTGAAGCCCATATTTGACGTTCCCCGCCGTGATATTGCTGGAATATTGCTAAAAGCGGCGTAAAACTCACTCACTATAAGTCGAGTAGGCACAGCCGGGGAGTCTCGAACTTTTAACGGTAAACTACGGTTGAAGCGAACTCAACGGAGCATTAATTATATAACCGTTCGTTACAACCATAGTTCGATATACACATTTCGACTAACATATTCAGTACATATCCAGGCCCAAAACAGTTGGATACATCACACAGTTCAGTTATAAACGTGTTCGACACATACGTAATTTTACTGTATCTAATTATTATGCGTTTGGGGTCATGAAATGCACAACTATGAACTCACGCCCTTCTCGACCTTCACTATGAACCTACCCAATATCGTCCTCAAGCACAAACGTGTCTCGCGCAAAACAGGTACGCTAGAACCTAACGGTAAATCCATCTATGCCTGTATTGGGACGATTGATCACCAATAGGTTATTAAGTTCCGATATAGACATAATAAAGCTATATATCACAGGCACATACCTGCAGTTCAGGTAGCCCGCTAAATATATATCCATTCAAGGTGCCTGGACCTTCCCGAACTAGAGCACACCACCGTTCAAATGCGATTGCTTTTCGAATCTCGCTGGAAGTCACAATAGCGGTCAAAATATACTATCATTATTGCATTTCTAAAGGGGTAAATACTATTTTGAGTTCGATATATCAGAAATACTTCCATTTAATAAGAAGGGTACATCACGGTAACTGTGCTTGTGATTCAACCCAGTTGCTAGGGGTATAAACCTTTCATTTTCTCTCTGACCCAACTATCCATTCATTTCCCATTTTATGATCTTAATGAAATACTTTCTTCTTATCTTATTCATTTTTTAACAGCGATAGTTAAGATAGGTTCACTGAGTTTATATCAATGGGTTGTGTCACCCAGGAAATTAAACAGTTGTTTGTGTGAATACTGTAAAGTTTGAAATTAATGCTCCGTCAAAGTAATGCGGCGACTGGTCCCGAGCCCAAAGTGCGACTGAACATTAATGTGACACGAATTTGACGTTAGAGTGCAAAAATACATTGACCATCAAATGTTTGTATGAAAGAGGTTCAAATCATGATGAGGTGACTTTACATGCAATTATCGATTTCTAATCAGTTGAATGATGACGAAACGGGCACATCACGTTTTTTGTGTGTTTAAATCCCTGCCTTAAGCTACTACCAACAAGTACTGCATGGAAGGGTCTAACGAAACGCTTAGTCAACAATCTCCTCCGACTACAATAAACTTTCGTATCGACCCCACAGTCAGACATGCTGTTACAAAGAGAAACTAAACAAAGCTATTTATGTCAAAGAAACTAAAGTCCGAAACGTCAATGGTTGCTAGGGAACCCAGGAGGGGAAAGTAAAACGCGACCATTTCTGCAACCAAGCATTGTCGTCTCAGACTTGCATGTTCAAGGGAGACAATCTGGTCATTGCAGCGCGACAGGTCTGGCTGCTTAGCAACGAGTAAAACTAAACACACATAGCTGTCCGGAAGATTAACGAGCCTTATATATTGTACTAGCTAGACGGAACGTGAGCGAAGTTATGAGAACGTGTTACAAGACTACACAGAGTTCACAGACAAACCCTCGCGCCTTCAAAGGCAAGGGTATGGCTCGTTCCGTGAATGTGTCTCGTTCACGTATAGGTTCACGACTTTTGAACAAATAGATATAAATTATTATGAGATAATTAACAGAGAAGTTTGCAGGTGGAAAACAGTCAACCAGCTTTAACTACCTGAACAGAAGCTATATTGATGTGACAATTGAACAACGTCACGTATATCGCCTCGGGTAGCGTGACAACATCACGCCTGGTAGATATTGAGAATGTCGCGGTTTTCAAATAGAACGATGGAAAGGAGTTTTGTCGATATTTAATTAAATCATTCTGCAATCGCGGTCACAATGCAGAACATTTAATACGACTTACTTGACGTAAAGTACTGAAATTTGAAAAGCATAATTATACCTTTAATTTACGATGTTTTTTTAACTGATTAAATTTTCCCCTTAAACCAGAAAAAATAATTGTCGTTGTATACGTCTAAATGTTTTGAGTTTCTGGGTTTGTTATCGCTGGCGGTACGCAGTATACGCGTTTGTTTCGTTATGTCTGTCGTTAATGATATCATTAAAATATTTCAGAGTTGTTCAAACGTAAACGAATATGCAATTATCTATGAAGTAAATTGCTGTCAAAATCGGGTAAGCGTGTAGGCTGTGCCGGTTGGACGATTCAATTAAACATACGATATAACAATATGGCTGGATATTCCTAATAGATGACAGAGAATGATATCAATTCATTGAAGTCATACCGCTGGCGTCTTTTCCTAAAGGCTTGTCAAAATATGGATCATAATTGGAAATCGTGCTCACATAGAAATATCTCAAAATATTTATACGTCTATAATTCGACTCGACCTGAATCATAAAGAAAAGCGAGAAAAAACATGTTTTCTTAATAACAAAATACATGTGATTCATCGTGTACAGATATCTAAAAAAGCATCATGAACCCTATTTAAACAGCACTGATATTCGTATGTATGAGACGTTAACCAACCCGCTTATTCCCGTGCCCCGCCTTAACAAACCCCATTCGGCTCCCAGCCGTCGAACGAAGAAGACTTACCTGTCACACTGGGTGCAATACCCTACCCCAAAGGGGAGGGGTGCAACAGCGTCTTCAGCACTCTCGAAGAGCCGTCCAAGATTGTATTGTGAGTGTGATCGCTTAGTAACGCCAGTTCCTTATATACCCTTACCTTGAAGAAGCTTGTCCCAACACGACTCTCGTCAAGCGCTCAAAGCCACCTGATTGTATTAGGGTAGCGGAGCTTTGCGCGTGTTGGTAAAATCGATGTTGATTGTATATACGGGCGTAACAGGCATTTGAATGATTGAAATGTACAACAAATACTTGTCATATGCACGAGTGACTGGGTATGTTGGTGTATAGTTAACGTGAGGGTTTAATGTAAATTGATCAGCATGTTATGAAATGAACACGGGTAAGCTATTTGAGTGAAATGTACATGGGTGTTTAACGAGATCTGGGCACTGATTTGAGTTTATATTCGGGTTATATCATACATGCTATAAATACACATCATAGCTAATTATATATGATGCTCATTTATACATTAGAACGTTAACCGTGATGATTAAGTTTTATGCTAATGAGATATTAATATCAGTTTTATTCAAACCGTGAAGTGAACATTTACAGGTGAAGTGAATATTGACGTTGGTAGAACATAGTTAGATACATCTAATACGGAGTAATTGCTCTCATCTACGGAAGACAAGACTGAGTTGTAATTAGGTCTGAAAAATAAACACATTTTCTCATATTAGGAGGTGTAGACAGTGACGTGTGTGAGTGAGTTTAGTTTTGCGCCGCACTCAGCAATATACCAGCTACATTTCTTGTATATGGTGGCGGTCTGTTAATAATCGAGTCTGGACCAGACAATCCAGTGATCAACGGCATGAGCATCGATCTGCGCAATTGGGAACCGATAACATGTGTCAACCAAGCCAGCGAGCCTGACCACCCGATCCCGTTAAGTCGCCTCTTACGGCAAGCATTGTTACTGAAGATCAATATTCTAACAGTGACGTGTGTTGGTAATGTGAACGCGTGAGTTAGTGAGTGAGTTGTGAATGCTTTTTGGGTGGGGGAGTGAGTGAGTGTGACACATCTCTAGAAAACTACGATACAATATCACTCCAGCGAATTGAGGGTGTACATCTACTACAATCATAAATATTCATTGATAACGGTTCACATCAAATAAAATGACACTCAGAGGAATGAAAGACATCTGATATTCCAACTACAGCTAGACACAACCCAGTGATCATGATCTTATCAAATGATAAGTACCGAGTCAGTTTGTGTTCACCACGTTCTTGGCACTTTTCCAGCCATATTAACCAGATCACACCGTACCCACATTGGGAGTCGAACCAGATAGGCTGCATACCGAGCAAACACTTTAACCAATAAACCAATTATTTCTGTCTTAAACCACGAGGCCAGGCTACTGAACTCACATATATTACTTGACCACCACACGCCACCAACTAAGGTATTTCGTAAACAGTTCCACTTAAATGAAAGATTTGATAAGTAATTTATATACTGATAATTTTTTCCAGTCAGAGATTCAGTATAAGTATCTATGGACAGTGGTGCGCTTCTCTCTCACTTACCTACATACGTCACAGTTTTCAAGCATAACAGACAGCAGTTGATTAAAGCTGTACTTCTGATCACTCCAACGGTATAAACATTTGCAAATACAACTGCGTTACCTTGTTAAGCGTGAAACTCACTTTTGCATAATAATCAAAACTGATGTTCTAATTCCTTGGCATTTCATGTTCATGCATATATTAGTGTAGTGCATGCATATATCAGCGTTGTCCATGCATATATCAGTTGGTCTCGGGACTCACGCACCGTGCACTAACAACGGGAGACGTATATCGTATTTCTTAAGGCACCTGCCCATCGGCAATATTTCTCAGCGTGCTTTACAGGTTAACGGGTAAGGACACGAGTATTAACACTTTTAAGGCAGACGGTGATTAAGTAACATGTGTGTTTAATATCAGATAATGTATGTTGGTATACGCCCCAGGAATTTGGCTTTCAATTTGTCAAAAAACACACGACATTGGTGGATCTTTAATCAGATTATGGCATTGACTGGTTTGTCAACATTTGGATGGCTTGTGTGGCGTCACGCGTATGCTGCCTTTTATGTAATTGTGTGGGTTTTGTATATTTGTCTATGGGGGCGTGGTTGGTTAATAGCAACACACTGACATGAGCCGTTTACAGACGGCCTAATTTCTTCTGACAAGGAGAGAGAATACCAGTGCAGACTGTGTAAGTGATTATCGTTTTACGCCGTTTGGGGCAATATTCAATCAATCGATCGATCAACCTATCAATCAATCAATCAACCAACCAACCAACCAGTCAGTCAGTCAGTCAGTCAATCAATCAATCAACAACAGTCATGCAGATACGCGAGCAAGCAAACACAAAATTCAGCAAATAAATATCAGATAAGGAGTGAGTGAGTATGATTTTACGCCGCAACGTTACGGCCGGAGACAACAGACATTTGCTTCACATATACGGATACCCACGTGGGGACTTGAGCCTGGGCATTTGTCATGACGATTGACCGCTTTAACCGTTAGACGGTCCTGCAACTCCAGGGTAGATAAATCCGTCCACCTCTCTTCTTTGCTTATCATCATGCACCGTCTGTTTGTCCATCCGCCCCTCGCCTTGCTGCCGGAGCGAGGGTGTTTGGTGAGGATTACAGAAGAAAAGAAAAAGAAGAAGAAAAATCATTTATTCGAGTGTCTAGCGATACGGTTCATTTTCACTTAATAGTTCATATGTCGCCCAAGTTTCATGAGGATTACTATGGAACTGATATCGTGTCACCAAGCCCCGGTCGACCCTCATTCTTTTACCAACCTGTTTGCATTACCCTTACTTACAGACGGGGTAGCCAAGTAGTTAAAGCGTTCGCTCGTCACGCAGAAGACCCGGTTCGATTCCACTGATAGGGGAAAATGTGTGACGCCCATTCTGGTATTCCAAGCCGGGTTATTGCTGGAATAATGCTTAAAACGGCTTACTCACACACCCACCTACAATTCGTGGTAACGTAGATTGAATATATGTTATTTTATATTGCGGCGCAGTCCTACAACAATTAATACGTCATTGTCACAACTTAAAGAAATATTCCTTGCCTCCGTCACTCTATTCGTCCTCTGTGCCTGTCTTATACAACAACCCGTTATTCGTCATTATTCGTCACTACCCTCGGAAGTTCAGTGCCCACATCCCCATCCTGTCCACCCTACGCCCGGGGGAGTCGTCAGTAAGGCAGCAGTGTTGAGGGCTACCCCGAGAAGACATGCTCAGTGCGTGTACATACAAGCAGATAGAGGGTTAACCCACCTCGCCCATCCTACCCACAATATAACGGTAGTTTGGTTACTGGAGCGTGGGGTTTAAACGCCTTAACAAAGCAACCCTGGGACTCAGCCGAATCAGTCCAACTGGGCCTATCCCCCTTCCCCTTCCCTACCCCCAAACCTAACCTGGTCGTTCCGCACCTACCCCAATGACAGCAACCCGAGTCACAGGACAGATATACCCGCGACAACGTGTACAAGTGTCGGTGAACCTGTCATGGAATTGTCTTTGTGCATCCCAGACACAACTGGCTTTTATGCTGCTGGAATATATACGTACAGGCTAGATGTGTTTAGACACATCCTCTAGGGTGGGTTCTAGGATTACATCTTAGGGGGATTCAACTGGATGCATTTTACACAAATATACCGTTTTATTGTCCCCGACCTAGTTTCTGTGTGTTTTGTGTCTTGTATTTTCACAACTACCCGTTACTAGTGCTGAACTCTTGCTACATCATCATATACTCCTCCTTCTCTTAATATTGCTACTACAATACTACTACTACTACTACTACTACTATTACTACTACTACTACTACTACTACTACTACTACTACTACTACTACTACTACTACTACTACTACTACTACTACTACTACTACTACTACTACTGACTGACTGACTGACTGACTGAGTATGGTTTTACGCCGCTTTTAGCAATATTCCAGCAAAACATCACGGCGGGGGACACCAGAAATGGGCTTCACACATTGTACCCATGTGGGGATTCGAACCCGGGTCTTCGGCGTGACGAGCCAACGCTTTAACCACTAGGCTACCCCACCGCCCCACTACTACTACTACTACTACTACTACTACTGCTACTACAACTACTAGTACTAGTACTACTGCTACTGCTACTACTACTACTACTACTACTACTACTACTACTACTGCTACTACTACTACTACTACTACTACTACTACTACTACTACTACTACTACTGCTGCTACTACTACTACTACTACTACTACTACTGCTACTACGACTACTTTTACTACTACGGCTACTACTTCTACTACTACTGCAGCAGTTGTTGCTGCTACTACGTCTGCTGCTGCTACTACTACTGCACCTGCTACTACAGCTACAGCTGCTACTGCTTCTACTTCTTCTACAGCTACTACTACTACCATTACTACTAAAACTGCTGCAACTGCTACTACTGTTGCTACTACTACTACTACAGTAACTACAACTACCACTACTACTACCACTGCTGCAGCTACCACCCCTGCTACTACGTCTTAACACTGATATTCTAGTCATGTTCGGCTACATTTCAAAGATTCTTCCAGTAATGTGAAAAAAAATTCAGCGTTCCTCAGTCAAGACGCGCGTCAAGCGTTCATTATATAATCAGTTGGCGACGTGTCCGTCATGCGCAGAAATCAGATATCACGCAGCGCTCTGTCAGCTCTCACCGTACGACATTGACAATGGCAACCGGAGACACGCGGCAAGTAGCAAAAACAGCATCACTTGTACAGCAGCCACGCGCTGGTAGACACGCTCTACTTGGTACATAAACACACTCCTCCTTTGATATTAGATATACAGTCAAGAAACACGTTTAGAATTCCCAAGGAATATAATTTTACTACTGCCACTACTACTGCTACTGCTACTACTACTACTACTACTACTACTACTGTCACTACTACTACTACTACTACTACTACTACTACTACTACTACTACTCATACTACTTATACTACTACTACTACTACTACCACTACTACAACAACTGCTACTCTCCTGCTGCTACTAC